GCGAACCTGATAAAACGCCCCCCTGGTCACGGCCGACAGATGGTCTTCCAATGTCAGCCGTGGATCCAGGAGGACTCCCAAGTTGCGAGCCTTCTCTGAGGGGGCCAAAATTTCGCCCCCTATAGTCAGCGATGGGGTCAGCTGACTATGCCGAGGCGCCGGCAGCCACAGCCACTCGGTCTTGGAAGGGTTGAGCCTGTTGTTAGTTGCGAAGTCGTGTCCGACCCATCGCAACCCCATGGACAACGTTCTTCCAGGCCTTCCTGTCCTCTACCATCTTCTGGAGTCCATTGAAGCTCCCGCCTACTGCTTCAGTGACTCCATCCAGCCAGCTCATTCTCTGTCGTCCCCTTCTTCTCTTGCCCTCCATCTTTCCCAGCATTAGGCTCTTCTCTAGTGAGTCCTTCCTTCTCATTCCTTCTCAAAGTACTTGAGTTTCAACTTTAGGACAGGTCATAGCAGAGAGTTCTGACAAAATGTGATCCACTGGAGAAGGAAATGGCAACTCGTCCTATTTAGGACGGTTGCGGTGCCCCGGGATCGTGTGATCCCCTTTTGTGACCTTATGACAAGGAGAGTCAGGTTCGCTTAACAGCTGTGGCAGGAAAGGTCGTAAAAGGGGGCAAAACTCACTTAACAAATGTTTCGCTTAGCAATAGAAAGCTTGGGCTCGATGTGGCCGTAAGTCGAGGACTCCCTGCGTTTGTTATTTCTGGCAATTTTTTTTTTAAAAAAGACCAAATCACCGATTACTTAGCCCGCTTCTGTGCATCCTGTTTCACTTAAAAGGAACGCTCTTCCTGCTCCTCTGTGGATGCAGATAGTAAATGGTTTTGCCCTGAGCTTAGAAAGTTTCTTACCATTTATCCCTTTGAAACAACATGCCCTTATTAAGTTCCTCCAGCCATGCTGGAGAGACAGTGGGAATCTTAGACTTGAGTCCCGTCTGGGAGAAGTTTGATTTTGGTTCTGTTTTGTGTTTCGATCCCGGGAGACAGGCTAACCGAGAGCCGAAGGAAAAAGAGCCTTTGTAGTCGTAGGCAGCCATGCCAGTCCAGGCCAAGGAAAAGAAAAGGAGTTCTTTTATTGTCTACATTCTTTAGGTCTAATAATAGTGCAGGGCTAGGAACTTGTTTTTGTGCACTTTGTATACACATCCCCTGAGCCTTTGGGGTAGGCTGCTCTGATGCTACAGACAGGGCGAAAACAAATCGCAGGAGAACACAAACAAGTCAACTGCTTTGAAGAATTATTTTTCCTATTCCATGAGGGAGAGAAGTCCCTCTGGGCGGTAGAAATGCAGAAGCAACAAGAGATTCTGTGTGTGTGTGTGTGTGTGTGTGTACTTGGGGTGGAGTTTGGCTTATATCCTGCCTTCTGACATCATTTGGGTCCTGGGAAGGAAGCTGGCCAAACATTCCATCCCCAGCTGGATTTTATTAGCCACCCCATTATATAACACAACATTTTCTCCATCCTTTCAGCGAAATGGGTTTATAATCGTACACACATTCCTTGATTTGCGTTTTGTGTCTGTGAGATTTAGTTGCGGGAAATTCACGAACTCACTGCTAAGGTTTCACAACGTGAAGTTATTGGATTATTATTTTTGGGGGGTGATAACATAAGTTATAACATAAGCCGCCCTGAGTCCGGTAAGGAGAAGGGCGGGATACAAATCAAATAAATAAATAAATAAAATAAAATAAATAAGTGCACTACAAGTAAGAATAAGTAACTCTGTATCTGCCTATACATACACACATATACACAAACCTTTTTCTTGTAAATTAAAACATGCTTTTCCCAAAGCCTAAAGAGAGACTAGATTTATCTCTGCTATAATAAAGTATGGTTTATCATCGTGCTTGAATATTAGTGGAATATAACCATTAATTAATGGAACAGTTTGCCTCCAGAAGTTGTGAATGCTCCAACACTGGAAGTTTTTAAGAAGAGACTGGGTAGCCATTTGTCTGAAATGGTATAGGGTTTCCTGCCTGAGCAGGGGGTTGGACTAGATGACCTCCAAGATCCCTTCCAACTCTGTTATTCTGTTAACCCTTGTTATATCCAGGTCTGTTCACCAGCTATCAATTTTTTTTTCTTGATTCAGATTTGAGCTGAATCTTATTGTTTAAACAAACTAGCAATGTAAAAAAAATCTTTAACACAACTGGCATTCAAGGACTCAGGTGAGCATGCTTGAATGTCCAGTTTTACCTGCAATTAATGTTGATGAGCAGTTAAAAATCAGTTTGGAGCGTTTTAGTTTTTGTGCCTTTATTAAATGATTTTTCTGAAGTTATCGGCCATTTCACAAAGATGCCTAATTTGGGAGCTGTTGAGAGACCCTTTACTGAGATCTTGAAAAGCTACTCTCAAGTGGACAAATCTGGACTAGCTGAAATTGATCTGATACTCTTAAGATATCTCTGATCATACCATTACTTCATTTATATAAGCTGTTTTCAGAATCACAACATAGTCCATGTATTTTTGTACTTTCAGGCAATTTCTCACTCCTGCTGATGTGCGTGCATAACTTGTAGTTCAAAACTTTATTATTTTTTAACGACACATAAAATACAAAAATATATATATTAAAAAGATACAGGTAAAATAGGGGAGGAAAAGAGAAGAGAGAAAAGTGTACGGTAGAGGGGAAAAAGAAAAAAAAAGGCATTGACCTCCGGCTCCTTTTGGTGCAGTAGGATAAAATAATAACATAAAACCTCAACTTTTACTTTTTTTATATATGTTTTATTGATTTTTAACATAATCACCTTAATATTTGGTGAACAGCGTGTTGTTTGGGTTAGTATTTAAAAAACAATCAAGGGGTTGGACTAGATGACCTATAAGGTCCCTTCCAACTTCTTCTTCTTCTTCTTCTTCTTCTTCTTCTTCTTCTTCTTCTTCTTCTTCTTCTTCTTCTTCTTCTTCTTCTTCTTCTTCTTCTTCTTCTTCTTCTTCTTCTTCTTCTTCTTATTATTATTATTATTATTATTATTATTATTATTATTATTATTATTATTATTATTATTATTATTATTATTATNTCTTCTTCTTCTTCTTCTTCTTCTTCTTCTTCTTCTTCTTCTTCTTCTTCTTCTTCTTCTTCTTCTTCTTCTTCTTCTTCTTCTTCTTCTTCTTCTTCTTCTTCTTCTTCTTCTTCTTCTTCTTCTTCTTCTTCTTCTTCTTCTTCTTCTTCTTCTTATTATTATTATTATTATTATTATTATTATTATTATTATTATAATATAATGGCTTTGCTTGATTTTCTCTTCTTCCAATAATGTTCTCTTTTGCCAACCTTAAATTAATGCATTTCTTATTATTTGAATAAATGACAATTAAATATAAACATTTTTCTCATGTTTCTGCAAATAATAACCACATCAGTATAAAGCTTCTTTTCTAATTGATCATCTTGGTTGCCTCGTCATAGATCCTGTTTACAAAAATTCTTATTTAAATTTGTTTTCCTCACTTTTTACTTTTATATTATAGTATATACTAGCCATTTCTAGAACACTAAACCTATCTAATCAGCAAAACCCAAAATCAAAATTTTGGGTTTTTTTCCACCTCAAGCACAAAGTTCAGAAGCGGTTTCCAAGTAGAAGCAAAATTAATTGTGTTCTTTTCTTTAATCCAAGCGGTCCGTTTAGCCCTCTCTGCTAACTCCATCAGTTTTGGCAGCCATGCGTCCGTTGTGGGATGGTGTGCATGCATAACTTGAGCCAAGCTCGCATCTTCAGTTTTTGAGTGCTTTCATGATGTTACATTTCAGTCTTTCCATTTTTCTCCTTTTTTTTTTTACAAGGCGCACGTATGTTGGCAGCATGCCCGGCCGTATCATCAATGGCTTGAAGACTGTTGGGGTCAACAATCCAGTCTTTCTCCTAGATGAGGTGGACAAGCTTGGAAAAAGCCTGCAAGGGGATCCTGCAGCTGCATTGCTTGAGGTAAGAATTGGGATGTGTTCTGACAAACAAGGATTGAACCCTGGATTCTGACCTCATGCTCTCCGGTTGGATCAGGACCTCAATTCCCACCTTCTCAGCCAAAATTATGGAAGTTGCACACCCATCGTATGTGGAGTACACTAGATAAGGAAGACGTGAGGTAGATTTTCCGATAAAACAGACGTGTGAGGTAAATTTCACCTCTTAAGGAAAGCATGTTATTAAGAATATTACATTTTGGAGACTTGATGTCTGTTTCAGTTCTCAAGTCGGGAGAATCTCTGGTTTATCTTGGGACTATTAAAATAGGGAGAGGTCATTTTTTATTTTTTACTCTAAGTGTGCAGAATGCTGGTTTCAATCCATTAATCGGTTTTAGAAAACATCTCTGCTGTATTCATACTGGCTGCTGTGGAGGAATGAAACTGGAGACTGTTTATTACTTTTTTAAAAAAAAAAAGTTCAATTAAGTTAGAACATGTTAAGAATGATAACTATTTTGGATCATAGGCCCATGATAGTAGGCACTTAAGCAGATGGGATTGATATTCTTAAGGAAAGGCATTTTTATTTTTAACAGGAATTAGGAAGGGAGAATGGATCAGCTGCATTGGTGAAATAGCAAGTGTGTTGTGCTGGACAAAATTACAAGTCGTTTGTCATTAGACCGGGTTTGGTTTTTTTTCATGAAATACTTCTCAAGTGCTACAATCACATTGTATGAGGAAATCATTGTTTTCTCTTGAAACAAGCTGGATAGCTTGGTACAACTTGGCATTGCTATGGTGTTAAGAATGGTTATAATTAAGCGTAAAAAGTCATTCTGTTTCTCAATGTGTTATATCACAAGGCTGCCTCTGTTAGGACCAGGAATTTAGAGAGGATTATTAGTCATTTGTTGCCAGACCAAAGAGATTCTACATCAGAATCTTTTATAGCAAGCTAACATCTCTGACTCCCAGTTAAATAATATCTGCAATATATGTCTTAACCCATCTTTATAGTGCTGAAATAAATAAAAAAAGCTTGTGGGGGAGTTGGATAACCAGGATTGTATTGGTGTGTGGGGAAGAATTGTGGTTGCTGCTGAGTTTCATTTTGGCTTTCAAAGCAAATTCCTTAACTTGTAATTCTTCTGAGTGATTCTAAGTAAACATTTTTGCATTGTGCTCTGGTTTGTGGGTCATAGCGTTACATTAAAAATAAACTGTATTCTGCTCACCCCCTATTTTATAGAAGGCATCCCTAGATTAATTTGTTTGATATTTCTGAGGCTGTTTTAAGATGGGCAAAGCACTTCGCTAAGTGTTTGGCAACAATCTGCACTTAACACAGGTGAGGAAATAGGTTCGCTTCCTAGATACCAACACTGAGTGTTTGGTCACCCATCCTCAGCTATGATATTTAAGAAGGCAGTAGCACACCTGAAGTGTTCAGGAAAACGACACCTTGGGGTTCAGTTTGTCTTGAATGTTAAATAAATAAATACGTTCTGCTATTTGTAGCTTGGAGAAAGGGCTGGAATTTTTCAATGTGTTGATAGTCTCTGGTTAAGGTCAAGGTGCATTTGTTGCTTGATCAGAGCGGAATGTCTTATTTCCAGTTATGTTCGTCAACAAGGGAACATTCATTCTATATTTAGATGTCCTCCTCTTGAAGGTCAGAGTGGACAGAAAGGAATCCGAGTGTTTCTTAATGGAGAACATTTGTAGACAAGAGAAATCGTGCAGAAAGTACAGGCCGGCCTCTAAATGCTTGCAGAGATGATTCTGCCTGTTATGGGACTAGGAATTTTGAGTGCACAAAAGCTTCTTTTTAATCTTATTTTCATGCAAAACAACGACAACAAAAAAAACCCACCACCATTGGAACAAAGAGCCTGAAGATGATATTTTATCTTCCTGTCCTGCTCAGGTGATAACCGGATCGCAAGAGTCACTTGAATCTTGTCTATTTGAAAACAGGATCTTGATAGTAAAATAAATGGGGCAGATTATTACCTTCACACCCTCTTTATGACTTTTGTAAAGCCCCCACTGGGGCTGACAACCGAATTGTCACGCTGAATAAAACTTAATTTAAGGCAGCAATACGGTATTGTTCTTAGAAAAAAAAGCCACTTCTTTCTCTAGGCGATTTTCACTTTCTATGCCAATGAACTCTGTGCAAGTCTTGTGATTCTGTGACACAAGTGCCTTGAATCCTGTGAATGAGAGCCTCACTCGGTGAGGGAAGGGAAGCTGCTAGAAATTTCAAATAGCTCTAGGCTTTTCTCGATAACTGGGGGTTAATGTCAGACCTTTGCAATATAAAAAGATTGATAAAGTAACCGATTTCTATTACGAGGATCGGGTAGGAAGAATTGTTTGGTGCCTCTTCTGCTTTTTGGCATTGCTACGGAGCAAGCTTTGGACCCAGGCTGAGATTTGGCTGAAACATTAGCTGCTTGGCAGGACTTTTGACCCATCTCCGTTGATTCTCCCTCAACTCTTTCAGTGCATTATACTCATTTGAAAAGTTCTAGTAAAGAAAGCTAATTGAGATGGCTTTCTGTCTTTGACAAATGTTCAAACTCGGCATGCCCGTGTGTGATATATAATTTTAATTAGCAGCACTCTTCCAGGCCATAATTCAAGCCGATAAGCAAAAAGGATGTGTGCTCATTCCATAATGGAAAGGATAAATTATGTTGACAGCAGCATGCAGTCAGTCGCCCAGGCATTGTGGACGTTCCACCCTGTATTACGTGAGAATTGTTCATAGTAACGTAGTGTTGCTCGCTTAACACAGCTCCAGTGAGAGCTTGAGAGGACTGGGAAATACACAGAAGTGGAAAAGCATGAATCACAGAATGCTGACCAAGGAGAAACTGAGGGAGCCTCAATGGGCATAACTCTCATTTTCAATATTTCTTTCTCCGATGTAGTTTATGCAGTTTTCCATATACATTTCTTGAAGTGGTACACAGACAGAATAAAAATGATTATGATGCAGCAGTAAAATTCAAGTAGATTTAAATGAGTTAATATAAAAAATATACATTAACAGAAAGGCATAATTTTTTCATAGAGGCCTTCTTGTGTCAAGTCTTCCATGGGTACCTAAAATTTATAGGAGGAGCTGCCTCTCAAACATCAACATACTGAGGTGAGATTTTGGCTAGGTTCCTGGCCATCATCCATATTTTGTAGATTGTGTATATAATCTATATACTCATATATCTATATCTATATCATATATAGAGATTTATGTTTGTGTAATACACAAACACATTAATCGCTGACAAATGTGGAGAGCAAACAGAAATATTGCGCAATATGAAATGTATTCACTAACCATTCATTGATAGGTATTTAATAATAATAATAGTAGTAGTAGTAGTAGTAGTAGTAGTAGTAGTAGTAGTAGTAGTAGAGTTGGAAGGGACCTTGGAGGTCTTTTAGTCCAACCCCCTGCTCAGGCTGGAAAACCCTATACCAGGGGTAGGCAGCCTTGGCTCTTCTATGACTCGTGGACTTCAACTCCCAGAATTCCTGAGCCAGCCACGCTGAGGGGAAAGGGAGAGGTTTCCAAGCTGAGCCATGCTGGCTCAGGAATTCTGGGAGTTGAAGTCCACGAGTCATAAAAGAGCCAAGGTTGCCTACCCTTGCCCTACTCCATTTCAGACAAATGGTCGTCCAGTCTCTTCTTAAAAACTTCCAGTGTTGGAGCACCCACAACTTCTTGTTTTTCCCACTACTTGTTTTACGTATTTGATTTCCCATTTGAATATTGCTGACTTTGCTAGCTATGGATAGTCCTCGACTTACAGCATTTCATAACTATTCGAAGTTACAACAGCCCTGAAAAAAGTGACCTGTGACCGTTTTTCACACTTAACAAACGTTGTGGCATCCCCAGGGGCCACGTGATCAGAAATCAGAAGCTTCGCAACTGGTTCATATTTATAACGGTTTCAGTGTCCTGGGGGGGGTGTCACGTGATCCCCCTTTTGCGGCCCTCAGACAAGCAAAGTCAATGGGGGAAGCCAGATTCACTTAACGACCGTCGTTGCCAACTGAACCACCGCGGTTAACTGATTAAATCACTGTGCCGAGAAAGATGGTAAAATGGGGCAAAATTCACTCAAGGACTGTCCCGTTTAGCAACATAAGTTAATAATAATAATAATAATAATAATAATAATAATAATAATAATAATAATAATAATAATAATAATAATAATAATAATAAAGTTGGAAGGGACCTTGGAGGTCATCGAGTCCAACCCCCTGCTCAGGCAGGAAACCCTATACCATTTCAGATAAATGGCTGTCCAGTCTCTTCTTAAAAACTTCCAGTGTTGGAGCATTCACCGCTTCTGGAGGCAGGTTGTTCCACTGGTTAATTGTTCTAACTGTCAGGAAGTTTCTTCTTAATTCTAAGTTGCTTCTCTCCTTGATCAGTTTCCATCCGTTGCTTCTCGTCCTGCCTTCAGGCGCCTTGGAGAATAGCTTGACTCCCTCTTCTTTGTGGCAGCCCCTAAGAGCCTGGAACGCTGCTATCATGTCCCCCCTCGTCCTTCTCTTTGTTAAACTAGACATACCCAATTCCAGCAACCGTTCCTTATATGTTTTAGCCTCCAGTCCCCTAATCATCTTTGTTGCTCTTCTCTGTACTCTTTCTAGAGTCTCAGCATCTTTTTTACATCGTGGTGACCAAAACTTGATGCAGTATTCCAAGTGTGGCCTTACCAAGGCATTGTAAAGTGGTCAAGGGCCACCCGTAGTTGCATGTTTATGGGTCGTAAGATGCATATAAACATTTTGCTAGTAAGCATACCATCAATTCGGAACCGGGAGCCCTTTCTGAAAAGCAGTTTTCTCTCTCTGCTGGCTTGCAATGCAGAGTCCCGCGAAATCCGGCCATTATGGAAGGTTGCAATAGATCTCGGAATAGACTCTGAAAGCTATCAAGAGCTTCTGGCCTCTTTCCACGTATAGAAAGCAAATCCCTGGTGCTCCGGTATGATTCATTGGGTGTCTTCTCTTGCCCTCCAGCAGTTTTGTTGCTGACAAGTTCTCTGGATTTGTGGGTTGAGAGCCTTATTCCAAAACAAAGCTGCAGCTGTGAAATCTTGTCCTCCCTTTGGTATCTCAAATGGATCTTGTTCATCATGTCTTAATGTCGCAGCTTTTCCCTGGGCTCATACAGACCTTGGGAGCGTCGAAAACAAAACCAAACCCCATGGTTACTGTATATCCATATCCTAATTTGACATGGTTGTATTTCCTAGCACTGTAACTCACGTCTAGGGGAGTTGAAATGCTCAAATTTCTTCTCAGCCGTTACAGAATTGGAAGGTACGGGCAAACGTGAATAACCTGTTCTTCTTTTCCGCCTTTATTTGAATTTAACTCCCAGTATATAAAAACCTGTACAAATTCCAGACTTATGTAAAACAATCAGTTTCACTTTACAGAATAACAGAGTTGGAAGGGTCCTTGGAGGTCTTCTAGTCCAACCCCCTGCTCAAGCAGGAGACCCTACAGCAGTGATGGCGAACCTTTTAGAGACCGAGTGCCCAAACTGCAACCCAAAACCCACTTATTTATCACAAAGTGCCAGGGCCACATCAGCATTGTGGTGCCCTCGGGGGGGGGGGGGCAGGGAGATGCCTCTGAGTGCCTCTCTGGCACGCAAAAACCAGGGGCGCAAAAATGGGCCACCGTGCTGCAAGGTGCAAAAATGGCTGCTGCCGCGCCGCAAGGTACAGATACAAGGCGCTGCACCACGCAAGAATGGGGCTGGGCTAGTGAGTATCACACAGGCATTAGCCCCGCCCCATTTGCAGCACGTGTGTGCTCGCGGCCCCGTGTGCACATGCGCGCATGTAAAATGCTTCCCCCTCCCTTTTCTTCCAGTCCACCAATCGACAATGGTTGGTGACCTGCTCTACCACCTCTTCTTCTCTCTTTGGTTAATTTCCATCCGTTGCTTCTTGTCCTGCTTCCAGGTGTTTTGGAGAATAGTTGACCTCCTCTTTTTTATGGCAGCCCCTTAGATGTTGGAACACTGCTATCATGTCACCCCTCGTCCTTCTTTGCCTTAAACCAGACATACCCAATTCTGAATATAACAATATAACACAACCCAATACTGAAATTAGGGAGTCATGGAGAAAAGCAGACCTGATGCTTCGGGGGAGTTGACACCTCTTCTTAATAGAGTCATGCCCACGAATTTTATTCTTTTTATCATGAAAATAATAAGATAATAAAACCCAACATATTAACATGCTAATTTTGAACTTTAGCCCTGCTCTTTTTAGTCCAATCAGTTGAAATCCCCTTGGTCATGTCATAAGCCATTACAATCCTTAAAGATTGCCATGATGCTACATCATAGCTTGTTTACTTCAGAGTTCCGCTATTTCCTCCGAGTTGTGTTTGTTGGCTTTTGCTTGCTGCCTTAGCAACAAGGGCGCACAAGAGAGCTTGGAAATGATTGGAAATAATTTGCGCACCTACAGAATGGAGAGAATGACAGCAGCTTAGTATACGTTGGATCCACGGCAGGTTGCCACTCATGCGTTATCAAGCTAAAGTACTGCATATCATCCCTCCAGGGAGAAAAAAATGGAAACAGAGCTGAACAATGTATAAGTTGAAATGTAACTTAAGAAATAAATACTAAAACCTCAGAAAACTGCCTGTCTTGGTTCAGAGAGTGGGATCAGGGGAATTGTGGGTTTTCTCTGGCTCCATGTTAACCGTTAATGGGCAACTTCGGTTCCACCCCATCCCCATATTCTTCTGGTTATTTATATTTCAACTAAACTTGCAGGGATGGCCCTTCAAATAATAGAAAAGTCTCCATAAAGTTGGAGCATAAATTATCCTATGCACTTTAAACTTAGTACCTCAAGCCTAGTATTCTTCCAGCTGTTTCTAAACATTTCCCAGGTTTGATGGCGTTCAGTCAGTAATGTGGATGTTTTCCGTGGGGTGGTGTGCCATGTTAAAAAAAAACTTATTTTATATAAGTAAATACATGTTAGAGAAAAGGACTGCAGTAACCCCATCTCTGGACTGAAATAGTATGGTCCACATTTCTACCATCTTAGTCCTTTTACTAGAGTCCACTTAAATAAAAATAAACCTGGACCCAGTTGCCTTCTCTGAACTAGTTCCATCCCTGAAGCACATTTTCTTCCAAAGAGATTAAAGCTACGAATAGAATGTGAAATATACTGCATATCCAGAAATATGGAAAGGCTACCGCCACTGGCAGCCTTCTGCTCGCTTCGGTCTGCAAATCTTCAGCCAAGTGACCCTTAAAAAAAAGAAAGCCAACGGTATAGCCTGGTGCCGGCAACTGTGATGTTCACCTTGAAATGCAACACAAATCAGAATGACGCTTTTGTTTAATTTAGCTCTAATTAGCACATTCAAGTGACAGTGACGTATTTCCTGGGTGGCCTGTTTGGCAGAGAAATATGAGCGAGGCAGGGGGCTTGGTTGCAAATACTTGTACCTCTGTCTATGCTCCCCTTCTGATGGGGGGGGATTATCCTCATGTTTCTGTCTTGGTGGTCTCAGCAAAGTTTCCAGCTGATAAACCCTTAACCGTGGAAAACCCCCTGCAGTTATGCTGCACACAACGCAAAACAGCCTGTTGCATTTGGTGTTCTGCCTTTGCCGTGATTCTCCCGTGGGTCTGTTCCAGCCTCCTTTAAAAAGGCAATTATTGACATTTGAACCCTCTTCTCCAGTTGTTTTTAATCCGTCTGCTAAGTAAGACATCCCACTGATCTTGCTGGTCAAATAGGGTGGGGCACATCTCATACATGTAGGGGCCAAAGAATTTGGCCCGTGCCTGCTCATTGGTTCTCTTCCTCTGCTTTGATCTGGGAGGAGACTATAACATTGTCAGATCCAGAAGTTATTCAGGGCTGGTCTATTACATTGATTAGAATTGACTTTGCAGTGATTTTCCTGGGTGAGGATTTTTAAAACGTACATAGATTAATGTTGATATAGAGGCATTTACAGTCACGATAGGCTTTCCGGGATGTTCATTTCTAGCAGTGCGACGCAGAAAAGAATTCTCTATACAGCACTGGGGTGATCAAAAACATAAATCCTCATCCTTTTTGTTACTAGCATCCAACCATAACTTTCCTTCCTTCCTTCCTTCCTTCCTTCCTTCCTTCCTTCCTTCCTTCCTTCCTTCCTTCCTTCTTCTTTCTCTTTCTCTTTTTTATTTCTTTCTCTTTCCTTCCTTCCTTCCTTCCTTCCTTTCTTTCTTCTTCTCCTTCCTTCCTTCCTTCCTTCCTTCCTTCCTTCTTTCCTTCTTTCTTCTTTCTCTTTCTTTCTCTTTTTTATTTCTTTCTCCTTCCTTCCTTCCTTCCTTCCTTCCTTCCTTCCTTCCTTCCTTCCTTCTTCTTTCTTTCTTTCTTTCTTTCTTTCTTTCTTTCTTTCTTTCTTTCTTTCTTTCTTTCTTTCTTTCTTTCTTTCTTTCTTTCTTTCTTTCCTTCCTTCCTTCCTTCCTTCCTTCCTTCCTCCCTTTCTCTTTCCTTCCTTCCTTCCCCCCCCCCTCTCTCTCTCTCTCTTTCTTTCTTTCTTTCTTTCTTTCTTGTTACGTTGAGATGTTCTTGTCCCTTGCTTTTGGATCAGCTTTATGCCCAGATGCTTCTGAAACAAAGAGACACATAGTTATACCATATCAGACTGCTTATTGATCTAGCTCAGTATTTATTTACAGAAAGTGTCAGTGCTGTTCATGGTGTCAGCCGGAGCTTTTTCCTGTCATATATTATCTGATTCTATTTAATCATTTATGACAGGAACAAATGTGGAACCTCTTGCAAGCGAAGCCTCGAATCTGTGGGTTTTCTCGATGTCATTTCTTATTCCCATGGAACCCTGGGAACTGTAGTTCAATAGCCAGAACTGGAAGGTGCCTAGAAATTTTATTAGCTAAAAATTGCAACAACGAGGCCTCTTTTTAAAGCCGGAGTTTGCATATCATTCTCTATTTGGCATTTCAGTGTTCCCATTTGTATCTACTTACTAAGGATTGTGAAAATATCATTTTAAAGTTCGTTTTGGCTACTGTTTAGAAATCATCCTAAAATTATATCTGCATTTTTGTGTTGCACAAGTCCATAAAAATGTAGCCATGCATATTTAGCTAAATGAAATGAATTAAATATGCACGGTAATTTTTGTAAAAAAAAACAACAAAACCTCAATTTTTGTTTCTGCTTTTAAAAGGTCTTGGATCCTGAGCAAAACCATAACTTCACAGACCATTACTTAAACGTAGCGTTTGATCTGTCTCAAGTCCTCTTCATAGCCACCGCTAACACTACTGCCACCATCCCAGCTGCTTTGTTGGACAGAATGGAGATCATCCAGGTTCCAGGTAACACAAACATGATGTGTTTGTGCATGTATGTCTCAGAGAGAGAGAGGGATGTATTTACAGTAATTGCAGCATTGCAGGATCAAGTGATCGCCATTTCAAATCTTCCTGAGGTGTCTAGGACAACTAGCCCCGGCCAACTCGGCCTGGCCAACTTGCCACGGGCCAACTCGCTGTGTGACAACTTACCATGGAACAATTCAACAAGGGATAACTCAAGAGAGGAACACGTGAATCGCAGCAGGCCTTGTCTTGCTTTAGATTTGAACCTTCTCAAATTAGAAATCCTCAAGGGTAGGGTGAGCCGGAATGGGACAACTTTAGAATAGAATAGAATAGAATAGAATAGAATAGAATAGAGTAGAGTAGAGTAGAGTAGAGTAGAGTAGAGTAGAGTAGAGTAGAGTAGAATAGAATAGAATAGAATAGAATAGAATATAGAATAGAATAGAAGAATAGAGTAGAATAGAGTAGAGTAGAGTAGAGTAGAGTAGAGTAGAGTAGAGTAGAGTAGAATAGAATAGAATATAGAATAGAATAGAAGAATAGAGTAGAGTAGAGTAGAGTAGAATAGAATAGAATAGAATATAGAATAGAATAGAAGAATAGAATAGAATAGAATAGAATAGAATAGAATAGAATAGAATAGAATAGAATAGAATAGAATAATAATAGGAGTAGAATAGGAGTAGAATAGAATAGAATAGAATAGAATAGAATAGAGCTGGAAGGGACCTTGGAGGTCTTCTAGTCCAGCCCCCTGCTCAAGCAGGAGAACCTACACCATCTCAGTCAAGTGACTGTCCAGTCTCTTCTTGAAAACCTCCAGTGATGGAGCGCCCACGATTTCTGGTGGCAAGCTGTTCCACTGGTTAATTGTCCTCACTGTCAGGAAGTTTCTCCTTAATTCTAGATTGCTTCTCTCTTTGATCAGTTTCCAACCATTGTTTCTTGCCACGGTCAACTCGCTGCGGGACAATTCAACAGTTCAATTTAAATGATTTAAAATAGTTAAAAAAATCATTTTAATTTTTGTCACTCACATTTCATTTTGTCCCTCTTTTGGCATCCTTTCTCCACTATTTCTTCGATATTAGTGTAACTCTTGTCCCGTGGCGAGTAGTCACGGACCGGGGTGAGCTGCAATTCTACTTCTCCCTCTCTTCAGTTGTCCCATGGTGAGTTGGCTCAGCAAGTTGTCCCGTTCCTGGGGTGGGGCTGCTGACAAATAAAGTCATTGGGGCGGAGTCAAGTTCACGTAACGACTGCAGGATTCACTAAACATCTGCCGCGATGTGCTTGACAACCAGGGCTAAAAAGATCGTAAAATTGGGCATGACTCACTTAACAGCCCTCCTGGTAATTCTGATCCCAATTGTGGTTCTACCTCGAGGACTAACTATACCAGTGATGGCAAACCTTTTAGAGACCGAGTGCCCAAACTGCAACCCAAAATCCTGGAGCCAAGCTCCCACGACCGAGAATGTATGCNCTCTCTCTCTCTCTCTCTCTCTCTCTCTCTCTCTCTCTCTCTCTCTCTCTCTCTCTCTCTCTCTCTCTCTCTCTTTCTTTCTTTCTTTCTTTCTTTCTTGTTACGTTGAGATGGTCTTCTTGTCCCTTGCTTTTGGATCAGCTTTATGCCCAGATGCTTCTGGAACAAAGAGACACATAGTTATACCATATCAGACTGCTTATTGATCTAGCCCAGTATTTATTTACAGAAAGTGTCAGTGCTGTTCATGGTGTCAGCCAGAGCTTTTTCCTGTCATATATTATCTGATTCTATTTAATCGGTTATGATGGGAGCACACGTGGAACCTCTTGCAAGCGAAGCCTCGAATCCGTGGGTTTTCTCGATGTCATTTCTTATTCCCATGGAACCCTGGGAACTGTAGTTCAATAGCTAGAACTGGAAGGTGCCTAGAAATTTTGTTAGCTAAAAATTGCAACAACAAGGCCTCTTTTTAAAGCCGGAGTTTGCATATCATTCTCTGTTTGGCATTTCGGTACTCCCATTTGTATCTACTCACTAAGGATTGTGAAAATATCATTTTAAAGTTCGTTTTGGCTACTGTTTAGAAATCATCCTAAAATTATATCTCCATTTTTGTGTTGCACAAGTCCATAAAAATGTAGCCATGCATATTTAGCTAAATGAAATGAATTAAATATGCACGGTAATTTTTGTTAAAAAAAAACAACAAAACCTCAATTTTTGTTTCTGCTTTTAAAAGGTCTTGGATCCTGAGCAAAACCATAACTTCACAGACCATTACTTAAACGTAGCGTTTGATCTGTCTCAAGTCCTCTTCATAGCCACCGCTAACACTACTGCCACCATCCCAGCTGCTTTGTTGGACAGAATGGAGATCATCCAGGTTCCAGGTAACACAAACGTGATGTGTTTGTGCATGTGTGTCTCAGAGAGAGAGAGGGATGTATTTACAGTAATTGCAGCATTGCAGGATCAAGTGATCGCCATTTCAAATCTTCCCGAGGTGTCTAGGACAACTCGCCCCGGCCAACTTGCCATGGGCCAACTCGCTGTGTGACAACTCACCATGGAACAATTCAACAAGGGATAACTCAAGAGAGGAACACGTGAATCGCAGCAGGCCTTGTCTTGCTTTAGATTTGAACCTTCTCAAATTAGAAATCCTCAAGGGTGGGGTGAGCCGGAATGGGACAACTTAATAGAGTAGAGTAGAGTAGAGTAGAGTAGAGCAGAGCAGAGCAGAGCAGAGCAGAGCAGAGCAGAGTAGAGTAGAATATAGAATAGAATAGAAGAATAGAATAGAATAGAATAGAATAGAATAGAATAGAATAATAATAGGAGTAGAATAGGAGTAGAATAGAATAGAATAGAATAGAATAGAATAGAGTAGAGTAGAGTAGAATAGAATAGAATAGAATAGAATAGAATAGAATAGAATATAGAATAGAATAGAAGAATAGAATAGAGTAGAGTAGAGTAGAGTAGAGTAGAGTAGAGTAGAGTAGAATAGAATAGAATATAGAATAGAAGAATAGAATAGAATAGAATAGAATAGAATAATAATAGGAGTAGAATAGAATAGAATAGAATAGAATAGAATAGAATAGAATAGAATAGAACTGGAAGGACCTTGGAGGTCTTCTAGTCCAGCCCCCTGCTCAAGCAGGAGAACCTATACCATCTCAGACAAGTGACTGTCCAGTCTCTTCTTGAAAACCTCCAGTGATGGAGCGCCCACGATTTCTGGAGGCCAGCTGTTCCACTGGTTGATTGTCCTCACTGTCAGGAAGTTTCTCCTTAGTTCTAGGTTGCTTCTCTCTTTGATCAGGTTCCAATCATTGTTTCTTGCCACGGCCAACTCGCTGCGGGACAATTCAACAGTTCAATTTAAATGATTTAAAATAGTTAAAAAAATCATTTTAATTTTTGTCACTCACATTTCATTTTGTCCCTCTTTTGGCATCCTTTCTCCACTATTTCTTCGATATTAGTGTAACTCTTGTCCCGTGGCGAGTAGTCACGGACCGGGGTGAGCTGCAATTCTACTTCTCCCTCTCTTCAGTTGTCCCATGGTGAGTTGGCTCAGCAAGTTGTCCCGTTCCTGGGGTGGGGCTGCTGACAAATAAAGTCATTGGGGCGGAGTCAAGTTCACGTAACGACTGCAGGATTCACTAAACATCTGCCGTGATGTGCTTGACAACCAGGGCTAAAAAGATCGTAAAATTGGGCATGACTCACTTAACAGCCCTCCTGGTAATTCTGATCCCAATTGTGGTTCTACCTCGAGGACTAACTATACCAGTGATGGCAAACCTTTTAGAGACCGAGTGCCCAAACTGCAACCCAAAATCCTGGAGCCAAGCTCCCACGACCGAGAATGTATGCNAGAACAAATACCCACTCCCCCTCCTTAAGGACTTATTAACCCATCTGGCTAAGGGGAGTGTCTTCACTAAATTAGACCTGAGAGAGGCATATTACCGGGTGAGGATAAAAAAGGGAGACGAGTGGAAAACTGCCTTCAACTGTCCTATGGGGAGCTATCAGTTCAAAGTCATGCCAGGTATTGGGTTGAACTCTTTTCCTGTGGCCACTCTGAAAGGCGTGTAACCAGTGCTGCTGTGCACGGAGTTATTGTATGCTACTTCTGCGAATGGGAGAAGATCAGTCCAGTTCGTTTGTTGGTAGGAAACATAGCAGTTATTTCTTTCGGAACATGACACTTACGTATCGCCGGGTGCCGGGTGGGAGTGGCCTACTCGGGCGCAGCTACAGTAGGCTTGGCAGACTGGGTGGGCGTGGCCACTGGATGGGTGTGGCTGCAGTAGTCATGGCAGATTGGGTGGGCATGGCCGGGGTGGGCATGGACACCTTGATGTTGCTTATGGGGAGGGACACCTGTGGGAGCCGGGCAGGGTTGGGGGAGATCCAGGGGGTCTCTGGTGGGTGGGATGGTGGGCTCCCCAATGGTGGCTCCAGGCTGGGTGGCCTTAGGCCAGTGATGGCGAACTTTCAGAGACCACGTGTGCTGGGGCGATGGCGCGTGCCCACAGAGAGGGCTCCGCGTGCCGCCTCTGGCACGTGTGCCATAGGTTCGCCACCACTGAACTATACCAACTTAACTTAATAAGGCATCTGGAGTAGCTTGTCTCAGCTTTCTCTCTCGCTCTCAAGTTAAGGTTTCAGCCTTACCCTCCTTAAAATGGTACTTCTAAAATGTTAATTCCTATCTCCTCTCATGAACTGTTTCCAAGGATACACCCAAGAGGAAAAGATAGAAATTGCGCATCGGCATTTGATTCCGAAACAGCTGGAACAGCACGGGCTGACTCCTCAGCAGATTCAGATTCCCCAAGAAGCAACCCTGCTGATTATCACCCGGTAATGATTTATGCATTTTAAATTCTATACCACCGTTTTGTTTTTACTGGTGTGAAATGAGTAAATTATAAATCTGAAATATTGTACTATCAAAGAACGTTCGAAGAGTGGGATTTTTGCAACGTAAATGTCTCTGCTTATTAATACGAGGCCTTCATTCTTAGCTCGTCTAAATTTATAGATCCCCACCAGTGTCAGACAGCATAACAAAGATAGTAGTGATAATATTGAACATCAGTTGCCTGTTATTATTATTATTATTTTTTAAATAAAGTTTTATTGATTTTTGTAATTAAACAACAAATACCAATATGATGCATTTACATACACAAGCAATAAAAAATAATCCAAATCAATACATTTTCAGAGACGCTCGGCGGTCCCCGCCTTGCCTCCACCCTCATTCACTTTCCTGTCCTTCCTCCCTGTAATCCCACAACCTCTCCGCCTGTTATTATTATTAATTGAATAATTAACAGAAAAGGCAGACAAATGTTAAAAAAAAAATCCACAGGCAACGATAATGACTTTTTCGAGCTGAATCTTTGAACAGGCCTCCTCATTTTGGGTTCCAGAAATGGAAGAGAGATTTGCAAAGGAGAGAAACAACACAACAGTAGCCGGAAGACAACAGAAATGTGCTTGTGTCTGTGGGTGGTATTTGTCTTAGAAGAAGCAACGTTTAGGGATGGTCAGCGATCTTGGCCTACCATTTCCAGTGTGTGTGCTTCTTAATTAGCTTTGGGTTACTTTGAGAGCCAAATTCTGCCATGTCCCGAAGGTGCTTTATTAAAAAGGCAACTGGATTTTGTTTTTCCTTCAAGACCTTTTGCTTCTCATCCAAGAAGCTTCTTCAGTTTTGAAGTCAGAACTGAAGATGCTTCTTGGATGAGAAGTGAAACTTCTTCAAGGAAAAACCGAGGAAGTCCTTTTGAAAAAAAAACACCTTTGGGACATGGCAGAATTCGGCTCTCCAAGTAACACAAAAATAACCATAGATAATAAGAGTCCAGTTGTCTTTTGAAAAAGCACCTTTGGGTGTCTGAGAATCTCCATAGACAAATTCTGCCATGCCCTCATTGTGAGTTTTGCCCCCACCACTGCAGGGAACATAATCAGCATCCTCTGCAGAAATACTGAGGCGCAGATTCTGTTTTATTGCAACTCTTGGCCTAGATCAGGGCTTTTCAACCTTTTCACCCACTGTACCACTTTTAGGATAATGGCAACATCCGAGTACCACCTAGCAAGGTGTCAAAAACTTGATGACCAAAAAAAAAGGGGGGGGGAGTGATAAAGTACAGGTAGTCCTCGACTTACAACAGTTCGCTTAGTGACTGTTCGAAGTTACAATGGCACTGAAAAAAGTGCCCCCCAAGGCACAGCCGAGCAAGACACCTGCCTGCCCGCCCGGCGGCGCTCTTCCTCCTGTCCGAGGTTTTCATTGTTGTGAGCATTTCTGTTGAAGATTGGCAGCGGGGGTGGGGTGGGGGGGTGTTTGGTTTTTATTCCCCCCATCTACTGGGTGGTTGCAGCAGGTTTTGGTCACTTCACATGACCCTGGGACACTGTGACCGTCATAAATATGAATCAGTTGCCAAGCATCTGAATGTAAATCACAAGACCCTGGAGATGCTGCAACATTCTAGCTGATCGGCGCTTCTTCTGGGCTCAGCAGAAGCGCCAGGATCAGTGCTGCTTTCCAGCTGATTGGTGCTTCTTCAGCTCAGCAGAAGCACCAGGATCAGCGCCGAGCTCCAGCTGGAGCCTGGCACTGATCCTGGCGCTTCCGCTGAGCCCTGACAGCCCTGCAGCTCCAGCCGTCTCTCGCTCAGGCTTGTGCGGTGCTGCCACCGGTTCAGCTCATTCCCCTCCCCTGCTACCACTTTTCTAGGATGGTCGCGTCCCACCTGCCAGGTGCCAATGTACCACAGGTGGTACCCGTACCACTGGTTGAAAAGCCCTGGCCTAGATTGTTTTGCATTTTAGATCATTTGCAGACCCCCCCCTCCTCACTTCACTCAGAAACTGCAGGGTAGCTAGTCAGATCTGTAGCCACAACCAGGATTCCTGGGTGGCGTTTGCTTGTGTTCGCACACTGAAAGGGGCACTCTTGGCTGCTGCTTTTTGCTAGCTACACCCGAGAAGCTGGAGTCCGCTCCCTGGATCGTAAACTTGGAGCCATTTGCCGGGCAGTCGCTGTCAAAGTGGCCGAAAGCCAGCACAAGGAGACGAAGCCAGATCGCTCGGAAGGCACAGAAGGAGGTTGGTGAGCTGCCTCTCTCTCTCTTTCTCTCTCTCTTTTTTTTTGTCTTTCTCCTTTCTTAAAAGTTCTGCCCATTTCCTGCTCTCGCCAGCTTCCTGGCTTGGATGGGTTTCCAAAGAAGGGAAACCTCTGCCGCGTTTTGAGTTTTTCAGATTTGCGTACGTTTTGTCCGTCGCTGAAATGAAACGGCACCGTTTTTGGTGTTGGCGTTCCTCTCTCGCAGCGGACCACAGAATTATCTGCCCCCACGTCTGCTGGCAGGAGGAAATCTTAGCGGAGTTTGTAGCTGAGAGGTGAATGCGTGACTGAAGCAGTTGCTCGGCTCACAAGTTGATCTCCGAGGCCATGGGTGGGTTTCACCTTCCATGTCTTATACCAGTGATGGCAAACCTTTTAGAGACCGAGTGCCCCAAAACTGGCCCCGCCCCTGCTCCACTCCCTGCCCCTGCTCCGCCCCCACCCCATCTCCCGCCCCACCTGCCTGCAGGGCCACTCACTGCCTCCAGGGTCCGCCGCAGATCGCCCAGGCAGCCCAGCAGCACCACGCCCTCTGCCTGCGCCCCGCAGCATCAACTGTGCGTGATGGGGCGTGAGGGCAGAGTCTTGTCTACGCTGCCTGGCTGCCATGTCCTTGGCTGCACTGCTCTGCGTGGGCCACGCTCGGGGGCAACTCTCCTCCAGGGGGGCTGCTGGAGAGGAGGGGGTCATGGGGGAAGGGGAGGCTGGGGCAACAGCACATGTGCCCACAGAGAGGGCTCCGAGCGCCGCCTCTGGCACCCGTGCCATAGGTTCGCCACCACTGTCTTATACGTTTCTACCTTCACGTCCCCCTGCCTGGGTTACTTTTCAAAGGCTCTGCTTCCAGCTAATCAGCTGCTATCTAGGGGCGAGCGGAATACTAATCTTAATTATTCTTAATTCTTAATCGAGACTCTGGAAAAGAGTGCAGAGAAGAGCAGCACTCTTCGGAGGGCTGGAGGCTAAAACCTTTGAAGAACGGTTATAGGAATTGGGTGTGTCTAGTCCAGTAAAGAGAAGGAGTAAGGGGGACATGATAGGGGTGTTCCAATATCTGAGGGGCTCCTACAAAGACGAGGGGGGGGGTCAAACTCTTTTCCAAAGCACCAAGAGGCAAGGCAAGAAACAACGGTTGGAAACTAACCGAGGAGAGAAGCAACCTAGAATGAAAGAGAAATTTCCTAACGGTGAGAGCAATTAACCAATGGAATAACTTGCCTTCAGAAGTTGTGAGTGCTCCATCACCGAAAGCTTTCAAAAAGAGACTGGACTACCATTTGTTGAAATGACGTAGGGTCTCCTGCTTGAGCATGGGGTTGGACTAGAAGACCTCTAAGGTGCCTTCCAACTCTATTATTCTATGTTCTAATCTTCCAACCACCATGAAGTAAGGCAGTCATTTTCTGCAAATTAATAATTTTTGGGAAGAAAAAAAAAAGGAATTAAAAATATTTGGTTTAACTGTGTCTGTTACTGTGGAGAGAGTTCTCATATTCCCTCCGCCTTCCGTTTACTGTCAACCCTCACAAGATAAAAGCTTGTTTGGGGCTAAAACAAACACCTTCCAAATCCAATTCTGATTTGTTTTGGGATTTGATCCCAGGAGCGTTGCTGGAAATTGGTATTGTTTGTTCCAGTGGGTTGCCGTACAAACAGAAAATTATGTGTCGCGGCAGGTATTTTATCTATGGCTTCCAACGCTTACAATCTGTGCGTTCAGGAATCTTTACAAGCTCTCTCTTTACAAAAGGTGCCTGTCTTCATTCTGATCAAAACTTTGTGTGTTTCCCACATATTAATACAACCTGAGATTTAAAACTCACTGATTATTCCAGGCATATTTATATTGGCTGCAGACTTAGCATGATTCTAGCGCAGTGATTTTTATGTCTGGCTGAAAGCCTGCTAGACATTGAAGAGAACGTATGCTTGTAACCATATGAAGATCTGGAGGTGTATTTTTTTACAGAGTTTTGTGCAATGTGAGAAAATTTTCACCTCTTGAACTTGTACCTCAAATCTTTTTTTTTTTTTTTTTAAAGATGGGACTCTTTTGGGTGGCAACGGAGATGTTGATGCAAAGTTTGCTACCCATAAGTTTGTGTGACTCACACCCTCGCACTCTAGAAAGAGCCAGATGTCAGCCTGCGTCTTTCACAATTATTTGTATTGGCCTTTCCTTCTGTTTTTCTTACTGGCTATGCCTACATTAACATCTAATAATTGTTGCTGTATAATTTCAAAAGACAACTTTTAAGCCACGTTTTAATTATTGACGTCCTATTCCTGTTCTCCCCAGGAGAAAGAATCTAGAAATTAAAAAGAGTTGAATTTATTCTTTAACCTAAGTCAAAAGGCCCAGCTCAAAGAGGAAAGGCTTAAAAAGTCCTTCCTGAAAGCAGGTTTGACAAATGAAAGTAGTCGCCACCGGAGAACTTTCCGTAATATGGGAAGGGTCAGAAAAAAAATACCCATGGGTGTATGTTTCAAGTTGTGGGGTTTTTTTCCCCCATCTAGGTCAGGGGTGGGGAATGATGGCCCTTTAACCACCATGTGGACAATCACTTAAATATGAGCCAGCAGTGTGCTGCAACTGCCAAAAAGGCCAACACAGTGCTGGGCTGCATTAACAGAGGGATAGAATCAAGATCACGTGAAGTGTTAATACCACTTTACAAGGCCTTGGTGAGGCCACACTTGGAATACTGCATCCAGTTTTGGTCACCACGATGTAAAAAAGATGTTGAGACTCTAGAAAGAGTACAGAGAAGAGCAACAAAGATGATTAGGGGACTGGAGGCTAAAACATACAAGGAACGGTTGCTGGAATTGGGTATGTCTAGTTTAATGAAGAGAAGGACGAGGGGGGACAGGATAGCAGTGTTCCAATATCTCAGGGGCTGCCCCAAAGAAGAGGGAGTCAAGCTATTCTCCAAAGCCCCTGAAGGCAGGACAAGAAGCAACGGGTGGAAACTAACCAAGGAGAGAAGCAACCTAGAACTAAGGAGAAACTTCCTGACAGTTAGAACAATTAACCAGTGGAACAACCTGCCTCCAGAAGCGGTGAATGCTCCAACGCTGGAGGTTTTTAAGAAGAAACTGGACAGCCACTTGTCTGAAATGGCATAGGGTTTCCTGCCTGAGCAGGGGGTTGGACTAGAGGACCTCCAAAGTCCCTTCCAACTTTATTATTGTTGTTGTTGTTGTTGTTGTTGTTGTTGTTATTATTATTATTATGTCACTAACTTAACAAATGTAATGATCCACTTACCAACCGTGGCAAGGAAAACCATAAAATGGGACAAAACTCAAAAATTATTTCACATAGCAACATAAATTTTGGACGATGTGTAATGCTGATAGCCCGCTTATTCAAGTCAACTCCCATCCCCTTGCAAAGCCTCAGATGCATTTTTTTTTTTTAGGTTTCTAGGGTTACCAGTGGAAAAGGCCTGAAGCTTCTCCCTTGCAACATTAGGGGGACTTGTTTACTATTAAACAGCAGAACAAAAAGACAGCTTTGTCTTCTGCATCTCTCTCCCCCCCCACCCACCCCCCACCCACAAATTCAGCAAAGAAGTTATTTACAGTGTGCAAACTGGAGCTGGAAATTGCTGCCAGCCAGGGGAATGTTTTCCAAAGGGTGTAAAATTGTAGGTTTTTGTTTTGTTTTTTTAAACACCCGTTTTTGGTCTTTGTTTTTGACCATTTGGAGGAAAACCTAAACCTCCCAACGCTGCTGCGGCCCAACGCTGCCTTTGTGTGGTCTGAAATGGCAGCAGGCGAAGGGGAGCAATGAAAGGGAGGCTGACAAAATGGGCAGGGAGAGGGCTTGCCCTTTGCCTGGTGCTGGCGTTTGAANATAGCTCAGAATTTTTACCTAGTCAATCTTCATGGATTAGAAGATCTTATATCTATATATCTAGTTTATTAGAGAGAGGAGGCAGAGGAGGAGAAAGGGAAGAAGAAGAAGAAGAAGAAGAAGAAGAAGAAGAAGAAGAAGAAGAAGAAGAAGAAGAAGAAGAAGAAGAAGAAGAAGAAGAAGAAGAAGAAGAAGAAGAGGGGGGGAGGAGGAGGAGGAGGAGGAGGAGAAAGAAGAAGAAGAAGAAGAAGGAGGAGGAGGAGGATCTTGGAGCAGGCAGGATGCAGTTGGCCAATGCCGGAGTGAATCAAATGTGTCTTGAACATGACATTTGTCATGGAGACATGCCCTACTTCAGCCATCAAGCTGAATCAGCTTACCGGCCATGGATTGTATTTGGTCAAAGCTTGCTTCAATTCCAGTTGGGTAGGCAGCAAAAATAAGAGAGGTTTGCTGAACCCTTCAAGAGGTACAGGTTAAGGCACCAGGGTAGAAATCAGGAGATGGTGAGTTCTAGTCCTGCCTTAGGTATGAAAGCCAACTGGGTGACTTGGGCCAATCGCCAGGAAACTGTGAGTTCTAATCCTGCCTTAGGTATGAAAGCCAACTGGGTGACTTGGGCCAATCGCCAGGAGATGGTGAGTTCTAGTCTCACCTTAGGCGTGAAAACTGGATGGGTGACTTTGGGCCAATCATCAAGAGACTGTGAGTTCTAGTCTCTCCATACGAATGAGAGCAGACTGGTTGACTTTGGGCCAGTCAGCAGGAGATGGTGAGTTCTAGTCCTGCCTTAGATATGAAACAGGCTGGGTGACTTTGGACAGTCACTCTCAGCCCAACTCACCTCACAAGATTGTCGTTGTGGGGAAAATAGGAGAAGGAAGGAGTACTCGGGATGCTTGCCACCTTGAGTTACTTACAAACTAATCAAGGCTACCTGGGGATTCTGGGAGTTGAAGTCCACACATCTTAGGGTTGCCAGGTTTGGAGAACCCTTCCATAAAAGATCCCCAATCTGGCACAGCCCATCCAAAAATTTATTTCACGATGGATTAATTCAGGTGTCCGAACTAAACAAGAACAGAATCGGACAGTACATTTTCTCTCCATTTGGCCCTCACGTTACGCCAAAAATAATAAAAGGAAATTGTATTACGGCCAAGGTGGTGTTTGAAGCTCAGCCCCCCCTGTGCTTCACTGTGAATAACATAATGTGCAAAGAAGGCTCAGGGAAGTAATAACAGTGCATACGCAGGCAGTAAATCAGGTTGAAACCAGAGTTTATTGTTGATTTACCCACTGATGCTGTAGTTTAGGCCAGTGTGTGAAGACGGGCTGCGTGGTTTATTTGTGTTCAGTTTTTATGTCTTCCTGGCTAGTCCCAGTCTAGAAAATTGCAAAGTGAAAGCAGGTCTCTGCAGAGAGGGAGAACAGATCAGAAACTGGCCGAGGAAGCTGCAGTTAGTTTGGTTTGATTGGAAGACATAACCCTGGCTTATTCAACAAACCACGGCTTCATGTAATATCTGAAGCCCAGTCCAGCTTTAACTGCCTGAAACAAAAGCTGGTCTAGGTGAATTCAGTTTCATGGAGTATATAACTTTTTATATCAAGGTTAGATTCCGCAGGGTTTTAAACAATGTTCGCTTGTCCAGATTGCACGCATGACCCAAAGGATTAGGCATATTTTGGTTTATTAGAGGTAGTCCTCCATTTACAACCACAGTTGGGTCCAACACTTCTGTGGTTAAGCGAGACATCTGTTAAGTGAATTTTGCCCCATGTTACGACCTTTCTTGCCACAGTGGTTAACTGAATTTCTGTACTTGGTAAGTTAGTGGAACCGTGGTTAAGTGAATCTGGCTTCCCCGTTGACTTTGCTTGTCTGAAAGTCACAAAAGGGGATCACATAAATGTGAGTCCGTTGCCAAGCATCTGAATTTTGATCCCGTGACCCTGGGGATGCTGCAAGAGTCGTAAGTGTGAAAAACTGTCACAAATCACTTTTTTCCAGAACAGTTGTAACCTTTGAACGGTCACTGAATGAACTGTTGTAAGTCGAAGATTACCTGTACATTGTTCTTCGGTGGAATATAATAATAATAATAAATTTGGAAGGGACCTTGGAGGTCATCTGGTCCAACCCCCTGCTCAGGCAGGAAACCCTATACCATTTCAGACAAATGGCTATCCAGTCTCTTCTTAAAAACTTCCAGGGTTGGAGCATTCACCGCTTCTGGAGGCAGGTTGTTCCACTGGTTAATTGTTCTAACTCTCAGGAAGTTTCTCCTTAGTTCTAGGTTGCTTCTCTCTTCATTAAACTAGACATACCCAATTCCAGCAGCTGTTCCTCATATGCTTTAGCCTCCAGTCCCCTAATCATCTTTGTGGCTCTTCTCTGTACTCTGGTCATTCTCTTTAGGAGCTGCCATCAGAATGTTTTTTTTTTTGCTTTTTCAAATATGAAACTGAGAGTTAAAAGTTAAAAAAAAAAACACCACCCTATCTTCCAGACTGGAAAGAACATATCACAGAAGATCCAAAATCTGAAACCCTCCATGACGCCTCTGACCTAGCTCTGCCCCCGGAAATGCCCATTTTGATTGACTTCCATGCCTTGAAGGACATCCTGGGCCCACCGATGTATGAACTCGAGGTAGGACTTCTTCGTTTCTTCTTTACGGTTTGTGCAACTCTGTTGTTGCTTGGATTGGTGGGAGAGTCTTTTCAAAGCTGGATCTTCCCCCTCATTGGCACCTTAGACTCCGAAGCTCTTGAAAGCTATTAGCACACTCGGTTCAAACAGCTTGAATAAGCGGGGAAGAAAAGGTGCGTTTGTCTGATGGGAGAGCTTCACAATCACACTGAGCAATTTGGCAGGAGTTTAAGGTCGAGCATTAATTGATGCGATGCCATTTGTGTTGACGTTCCACTGAGAGGGAAGGCTGACCTCTATTTTTGGTTGATGCATTTATTTGCAGACACTGCCTTTTTATAGAACGCTTAATACTAAGAATACTGCATCCAGTTTCTGTCACCATATTATAAAAAAAGATGTAGAGACTCTGGAAAGAGTGCAAAGAAGAGCAGCAAAGACGATTAGGGGACTGGAGGCTAAAACATATGAAAAATGGTTGCAGGAATTGGCTATGACCTGTCTAATAAAAAGAAGGACTAAGGGGGGATATGATAGCTGTCTTCTAATATGTCAGGGGTTGCCACAAAGTAGAGGGGGGTCAACCTATTTTCCAAAACACTTGAAGGCAGAAGAAGAAACAATGGATGGAAACTAATCAAGGAAAGAAGCAACCTAGAACAAAGGAAATATTTCCCAGCAGTGAGAACAATTAACCAGTGGAACAGCTTGCCTCCGGAAGTTGTAGGTGCTTCATCACTGGAAGCTTTTAAGAAGAGACTGGACAGCCACCTGTCTGGAATGATATAGGATCTTCTGCTTGTGCATGGGTTGGACTAGAAGACCTCCAAGGTCTCTTCCAACTCTGTTATTCTGTTACATTTCACATTCTACAGTTTTGGATCTGACTATATCCTCTACCTTCATTTAAATGCAACAATATGGGTCATGATCTCCTCTTTGACAGTGTTTATCACTAGGATCACAAAAACAGATTGTAAAATTGGGCATGGTCATAAGTTGAGGACTACCTGTCATAGCTCCATGAAACTATAGGTCTCTGGCTAAACGGGTCCAGGGGCTTTGGAACCACCAATTAAATCGTCAAGAAATATACAGTAGTGGCCAAAATTGTGGAAACCTTTTGGGAAAAGTGTACAGTAGAAATGCCACCTTTGGTTAAGTTTCCACCCATTTTTCTTCTGATTTCTTTATAACTGTAGCCTTGTTCACTGAATAATACTATTTTACATCACTTTCTGGGCGACCGGTCAACTCTTTGCACCATTGTTTTAATTTTATTACGTTTTACAAGCTCACTTAAATGAAAGAATACAAAAAAACCCAACCAACTTGATAGCGATCACACAACACACTGACAAATGTCTTCCTCTCAGCTTCAACACATGACATCGATAACTGAATCCTACTGTGATCTGATTGGCTCATGGCCAAAGCAAGATGATGCCCAATTGGCTCTCTAAACACTCACGCTCATTGGCTACAATCGGATGAAGGAAAGCTACCTGATATCAACCTAAGCAAGTTGTGCTTCCTTTTTCTGGTTATTTGGCCATAACTTTTCATAGAATACAGTACAGATAATTGAACAAACTTTGTTGCATTACATTCTTGATTAAATTATCTTTCCATTGATATATAATTTTATGGTTCTACTCCCCCCAAAAGTGGTGTTATTAGCCATCAAACCTCAAAAATACACTTTTCCCAAAAGGTTTCCACAATTTTGGCCACTACCATATATATGTGCATTCTGGACCAGCGCAGAGTTCAAAGCAGATCCAGATGGACATCATCTGACCTGGCCATTGGCCGGCATCACTAGGTAGCAGCCTCAAATAAAATGTGTGCTGAAACAGCTTAACTGCCACGGCTTTTCTTTTTTGGACTCAGTGGGAAACATTCCTCCTTGCTTCCATTTGTTTGTCTTTCCTGCAGCTTGCAGTGGGCCTCTCATTGTTTTGTTTTTTTCTCTCCTTCTTTCTTGGCTCGGGAGAGTTTTCACCTCTGACCTCTCCACCGCCATCTGGAAATCTAGACCCCGGCCAGGGCAGTTTGCCCTGTCAGCAGCTTGGCTCAAGGAAGTGGCTCAAGAAAGCGAAAAGCTAAATTGATTGAACCAATTAGCCTTCTGAAAGGGGAAATACCTTTTTTTCCCAAATGAAATATTTGAAAAATGAATACCTTAGACCAGGAGTCCCCAACCCCCAGTCTGTGGACCGGTACCGGGCTGTGGCATGCCAGCAACTGGTCCGCGCAAACGAGCAAAGCCCCATCCACGGGATGCAGGCAGCACACAAAACCATGCCCCCTCCGGGCCGCGGAAAAACCTCTCTCCACGGAACCGGTCCCTGGTGCCCAAAAGGTTGGGGACCTCTGCCTTAGACCCCTGTAACCTTGGAAATGCCGGTGCTCTGTGCAGCTCCCGCGAAGGAACCGGACACTTCGGAATCAAACTCTGCTCATGTAGGGAAAGGAAAGGAGCCGTGCAGTCTGAATATGTCGAGTCGAATTCTGAAATAAAAGCTTTTGGGAGGAAAAAAGCGTCGTAAAGACGGCAGAATTTGAACCAGCGATATATTAAGCCAGTGATGGCAAACCTTTTAGGAACCGAGTGCCCAAAGTGCAACCCAAAACCCACTTATGTATCGTCAGGTGCCGGGTGAGTGTGACTCATTGGATGGGTGTGGCCCATTGGGTGGGTGTGGCCCATTGGGTGGGTGTGGCTATGGTGGTAACGGCAGACTGGGTGGGACTAAAAAGTTCAATCAATCAATTCCAACTTTGCAAGATCTTTTTTTTTCCGCGAGAAGTTGAAATTAATTGATCGATTGAGCCTTTTATAAGATTTTATAAAACCCAGCTGAAGGCCTAGGACTGGGGCGATGGTGCACGTGCCCGCAGAGAGGGCTCTGCGTGCCACCTGTGGCACGCCTGCCATAGGTTCGCCACCATGGTATTAGGCATATTAAAAGATAAAGGGTTAAGCTGAGCTTAACTTCTGGCAATTATAGGGATACATCCATGTGGAGAGCAGGGCTAGGGCTGGCGTTGGCGTCTTCTTCTCTCTTAGTACTTCCATTACTACAACCTTGAGATTCCCTGGCAAGCTTGCATCCACACTGTAATTAGATTTGACCCTAAACATAATGAAAGAGCTACAATTGAAAAGGTCCTTTTTAATTGCTATCTTCATCGCAAAATGAGGTGGCAGCATCTGGAGAGGGACCTTCAAATATGGCTGCAGTTGGATTAGACGGAGCGGGTGAGCTGTCTTTTATAGTCTGTATCCCAAATTGCAGAGCGCTTTAAACTTTAAAAGCAGAATGAATTATATTCAACCCACAGGTAGACTTACGACCGTTTCTGTTACTAAGTGAGACTCTTGTTAAGTGAATTTTGCCCCACTTTATGACCTTTTCTTGCCAGAGTTCTTAAGTGAATTGTTACGTTAGTGACCCGGTTGTTAAGTTAATCTGGCTTCCCTTTTGGTTTTGCTTGACAGAAGGCTGCAGAAGGGGATTATGTGACCCTGGGACACTGCAACCGTCATAAATATGAGTCAGTTGCCAAGCAGCTGAGTTTTTTTTTTTTTTTTACAAAGTTTTATTGAATATACAGTTAAAAACAAAAAAGACACATTGGACATAATACAATTAAAGACAAAAAAGACACATTGGACATGATACAACTTCCCTGGTTTGAACGATACTATTAATATTGCCTTACATAATATTGCAATGTATGGCTGTGAAAGTTGGACCATAAGAAAGGCTGAGCGACAAAGAATGGAGGCTTTTGAACTCTGGTGCTGGAGAAGACTCCTGCGGGTCCCCTGGACTGCAAGGCGATCCAACTGGTCAGTCCTGGAGGAGATCAACCCCGACTGCTCTTTAGAAGGCCAGATCCTGAAGTTGAAACTCAAGTACTTCGGCCACCTAATGAGAAGGAAGGACTCACTGGAGAAGAGCCTAATGCTGGGAAAGATGGAGGGCAAGAGAAGAAGGGGACGACAGAGAATGAGGTGGCTGGAGGGAGTCACTGAAGCAGCAGGCGTGAGCTTAAATGGACTCCAGAAGATGGTAGAGGACAGGAAGGCCTGGAGGAACGTTGTCCATGGGGTCGCGATGGGTCGGACACGACTTCGCAATTAACAACAACAACATTATATTATTACATTGTAACAAAGCGAGCATTCTTTCAATAATGTGCATTATAATTAAATAACTTTTAATTCTATCTGATATAGAACGTACTAGTATAAAGATTTCTAAATTATCCACTTATTCATTAACATTCATCCCAGCATGCCTCTTTACATCTAACCATTTATACACTTCATTCCAAATTTCGAAATAGTCTGATTCAGTTTTATTTTTAAGCTCTAATGTTAACCTATCGATTTCAGCACAGGATGGGATTTTGTTTAGTGTTTCTTCTTCGGAGGGGGTTTCTTTTTCTTTCCATTTCTGAGCACAAGTTAAGTCTTGCTGCAGTTAGAATGTGCAGTACTAAATATAAAGATCCTTTGCTGAATTTATCCTTAGTGATCCCTAATAAAAAAAGTTTCTGGTTTTAATTCAATTTTTAATGATAATATCTCTTCCAACCAATTTTGCCAAGCAGCTGAGTTTTGATCACATGACCCTGGGGATGCTGCAACGGTCATAAGTGTGAAAGACAGTCATAAAACTCAGTGCTGTTGTACCTTCGGATGGTCACTAAACAAAGTGTTGTAAGTCAAGGACTATCTGTGCTGTATACTGGTGATACCATTAAGAACAAGTGAGGTGTATTCTACCTAGCCTGGCCCACCCGGTCGCGCAAGAGAGCTGTATTTTGTTACGGGTATGGCAAAGCAAATAGCTTAGCATTTCAAATTTTGGCCACTTCTGTACCCAAGAATTCCTTGCCAGCTTAACTCCAGATGCAGATCAGATGAAGGATGACTTGTGAACGTCTTGCCTCTCTTTTCTTCCAGGTGTCGGAGCGGCTGAATCAACCAGGCGTAGCCATTGGCTTGGCTTGGACGCCCTTAGGCGGAGAGATCATGTTTGTGGAAGCCAGTCGGATGGATGGGGAAGGCCAGTTGACCTTGACCGGACAGTTGGGGGACGTCATGAAGGAATCGGCCCATCTCGCCATCAGCTGGCTGCGGAGCAACGCAAAGAGATACCAGCTGACCAACGGTAGAGAAGGCTGAGGCCAACCCAATGTGTCCTTTCAGCAGTGTCCCGCGGTAGATCCGTAGACCAGTCATTCAACAACCACACTTTTTTTGCTTGGGATGCAGCATCAACAATGGTGGGAGGAGGTTGTGGCTTACGTGGGCAAAGAATGTGTGTTCGGTTAGCATAAACGTACTGATTAGCAAAGGTGGAGTAATCTTCTGATTACTCAAAACACAACAAGTAGAATATACAAAATATAATATGACTAGAAATATTGAGCAGCAAAGAAGCAGTCTACCTGAGGAACTGTCTCACCCCAATTGGATTGGCTTGCCCCACTCGCACCGGCAGAAGTGGCATACCCCCTCGGCCAAGGAATTTTGGCAGGTGAGGTCCAGAAAAAGAGCCTTTTTTGCCATGGTGCCCATCCTCTGGAATAGCCATATCCCACCCTCTTGGCCTTCCTGTAAAGATCTTAAAACCTGGCTGTGCCAGCTGGCCTGGAGCCTGGATAGGGACACATCATCTTAGGTGGTTCTTGGGTTAATTAGAAGACCTCACCTCCACTCTATTATATACCCCCTCCTCTATCTTAGCTATTTCTAAGAGACCCCCATAAGCTTGTTGTAAGCTCGTAGAGTAGCCTCATGGCACAGTTGGCACCAGATATATTTAATAATAATAATTTCTCGCTGTGGTGGCGCAGGGGTTAGAATGCGATATTGCAGGCTGACTCTGCCGACTGCCAAGAGTTCGATCCTGACGGGCTCAAGGTTGACTCGGTCTTGCATCCTTCCGAGGTGGGTAAAATGAGCATCCAGGTTGCTGGGGGCAAATATGCTGACTCTGTAAACCGCTTAGTGAGGGCTGTAAAGCACTGGGAAGCGGTATACAAGTCTTAAGCGCTATTACTATTGCCGTTGTTAATTTTAATGTAACTAGTGCTTCATTGCTTGCTCTTTTTAAGTTTTATACAATAATTGTATCTGATTGTAAGCCAGAATCACGTGAGTGACAGCAATGTAGGTGGTGAATAGGTTTAATAAATAAATGAGTAAATGTTAGTGTTTTTGAAGGATAAAATTTTTTTTCTTTGTTTTGAGTTAGGGTTCATTAGCAGGCATCCTCACAGCAGAAAAGCTTCCTTCTGCCATTAATGTAATCTAATCTTCATCTTTTTTTTCCTTGTGTCTAGAAGTGTGTATTGATGCAGGTGTTTTTCACCCCCCACCCATCCACCCACCCACTGTGGTCTTCCCACCCCCCACTCTTCCCTTCCCTGGCACTCCTCCCGCTTTCAAATACAGATTTCTTCCCAAATGGAAACACGTTAGGAATTCAAGTCTTCCAGCGCCCGCCCGGGGTGGTTTTTCTTTTATTTATTTTTAGAACAAAGGCCGGCCTAGCACCAACCTGCAAATCCCTTTCTCTTTCTTAAAGCTTCTGGAAGTTTTGATCTCCTTGACAACACAGACATCCATCTGCACTTCCCAGCTGGAGCTGTCACAAAAGATGGACCATCTGCAGGCGTCACCATAGTAACCTGCCTTGCCTCCCTCTTCAGTGGGCGGCTGGTGCGTTCAGATGTAGCCATGACTGGGGAAATTACACTAAGAGGGCTTGTTCTTCCAGTAAGTATTGTTTAGAGATCATGATGGTTAAAGCTTTTACTCGCCCCCCCCCCCGAATCAGCTCCGATTTTTCCTTCTTTATTCTAAGACAACCTATCCCCGGCAACGCTTATTTCCTAGAGAGCTTTCTGAAATCTTCTTTTATTAGATCTCTGTTTTTGCAGGGCCGTGCCACGTCCTGCAGAGCAGATTTTGCACAGCTCCTTTACATTAGAGTAAACCAGCAGCCTGATGGCCATTGCAAGATGGGAGAAGAGTAGATCACTGGGGTTTCTTGCAACTGCAGGGTTAAAGTTGTCAGATGATGCTTAACTGGAAGCTCTGGTGACATTGTGACTTTAAGGTCGGGGCCCTGTTAAGGAAGGAATGCCTTTCTCTTGTTCCCATCTTGACGACCCCAGCAATGTTCTAATTCTTCAGAGGCATTGGGGTTGAAAATACGTCGGTACGGATAAACATCTAGATTTTCTTAATTAAAATGGACCTCCTTTCAGAATGAGAATGTGTGTGGTGCTTATCGCAAACCTGGAACGGGCGATGGAAAAATATCAAGTTTTTTTTTTAGAGATGTGTGGCATATGGTTTGTATCTTTATCTAGAGAGAGAATGCTTGGCATGAGTATGGATTACAGCTAGGCAGCCAGTAACTTGCTGCAGAGAAACACCTGCTTAGAAACAGGCAGATAATTGCTTCTTTCCTGTTTCCCTCTTAGATCTATCTATCTATCTATCTATCTATCTATCTATCTATCTATCTATCTATCTATCTATCTATCTATCTATCTATCTATCTATCTATCTATCTATCTATCTATCTATCTCTATCATGTCTGTCTATCTATCTATCTATCTATCTTATCTATCTATCATCTGTCTGTCTGTCTGTCTGTCTCTCTCTCTATCACCTATCTCTCTCTCTCTCTCTCTCTCTCTCTCTCTCTCTCTCTCTCTATATATATATATATATATATATATATAGATAGATAGATAGATAGATAGATAGATAGATAGATAGATAGATATAGATATAGATATAGATATAGATATAGATATCCAATTTTACGCGGGAGAAAACCTGAATAACCAAAGACCTACATATATATGTATGTGTGTGTGTGTATGTATGTGTGTGTGTGTGTGTGTGTATATACATACATACACACACACACACACACACACACACACACAAATTAGCCTAAGTTAAAAGAAAGAAAAACGAACACCAGGATAGAATAAACCAGATTGTTTAATGTAAACAAGCCTGTGGTTAAAAAATCACTAAGCTTTTCGTCGCAACTTAGGCTAATATGATGCCCAGGATTCGCATTTTTAGCATTTTAAAGGATATATATATATATACACACACACACACACTTATCTGTTATCTACTTAACAACCAAATTTAGCCATCCCCCTGAACAATTGATAAAACTGAAGGTAGCCAACCAGCTCCCAACCAGTAATGGGCCATTTTGTAAACGGCTTTACTTAGCNAAAGTAATTTTAATGGGAACACAGCAATCAATATTTGGCTTTTAATTAGGTTTTAGTGGGGTTATTTTGTGTATTTTTGTATGATTTTCTTTGTATCCTGTATATTGTATTTGTGTTTTTAATATGCTGTGAACCGCCCTGAGTCCTACGGGAGAAGGGCGGTATACAAATTAAATTAACCTTAACCTTAACCTTAACTCTATTATATACCCCCT